CCATCGTCGCCCTCGCCGGGGGTGATCACGAGCCTTCGCGGTCGAGAGAAAATGACCCGAGGATTTTGCAATCGGGACGTGCTATGTATTCTGCGCGACTGCTAAACATCAACCCGTATGCAGCGTATTGACTGAAAGAAGAGTTTCTTTCAGCAGGTGTCTAGGGAAACGGACGACTTTTTCGGGGATGAGAATGAAAATGTTCACAAGATGTTAGGCTGGACATGCATGATTGCAGCCTCGACCGGCGTCGCTCACGTCACTTTCTGCCATGCAGCGGCTGTTGCACAGCGGGCCACGGACACGGGCACCACATTTCATGGCGTCCTATCTGAAAATCATCGCGGACAATTACGAAACATGGCAGTGCCAGACGATCTAGAGAGCGGTGGACTGTTTGGAATCCTCGCTTGCCTCGAAGGCGTGCAAAAAAATAAACTCGACGGTGTGCTGTTAGCGAGTCGCACAGACCGAATCTGACGGGTTGTTGTTCGGCCAAGGATCGTCCTTGGGGAAACCTTCATGCATCGCGTTCAACGTTGGGTGCACCCGCATGTATCTGATTGATGATTCGGATGAATCCTAAACACTTATAGAACGTCACCTTCGCAAGTCTGCAGTGCTAGTTCAAATGCCACAACGCCGGTGTCAACTGTAGTCGTCATGAGGGAGTCTCCTTTTCCCTTAAACACAAGGTCTGACCGCACGTCCGTATCTTGTGACATACGGGCTTTCCCGCGGACGTGGTCGTGAATGGAAGCCATACATAGCATTCATAGATGATCCGTACACATGGATCCTCGGCTCGTCGACTGTTGCGTTCTCCGAAAACACGAACATGTATTTCATCCTGACAAACCCTCCTCGTCGTGCTAAGGAATTCCCTATACAGTCACGTATTTCAGACACTTTCTTTTTCACATCATCCCACAATGACAGAAAAATTCTTACCTGACCTGCTCTCACCAAGTCTGACCGCCCATCTACATCTGGGCGAGACATGACCGCCTTGAACTTGGAACCCTGAAGCACCATCTCGTTGCGTGACACAAGCATAACTGCATCCACAAGTTTTCTACTTTTGCTTGAAGAAGCCACACATAACACGCTAGCGAAAGGACATCCGCCATCCGTCAACCGCACACAACAGTACGACAGAGCTTGTGGAGAAGTCCCTGGGCAACGGGGTGGGTAGTGTTCCAAGAATGAACAATGACGAGCGCAGTCCACCAACTCTTGCTTTTGCGAACTTCCCTAAGTTCGTGGCGAAGATGTGATATACTCGCAGTGGAGGCGACGTCAGAAGCTGTTACGGAAGCGGACCGGTTTACCTTTATCGTCCAGGGTCTTTCGATGAAGGACACCATCAGGCAGTGCAATGAGGCTCCTGAACTCCAACATGTTGGCAAACTTGTAATGACTTGCCCATGGGCAGGAACGCTCCATCGTCTTCTAATCATTTTCGTTCCATTCGTCGAGATGCTGGTTCATGTAAGGAACGACGGTCGTCCATGGGTCGTCCTCGAAGTCGTCCTTGGTTGCATCGTCGATCCACGTCTGACCGTCATGATGCCGCAACGATCTCGCACAAGGTGGAAAGGGTTTCGCTAAGCGCATGTGCTTCTCGGGTGTCATGACGATGCTTGTCGAAGGACTCAACGACATTAAACTCCCTACACAACACGAACACATGGATAGAAATACGGAAGAGAAGATCGTCGTAAACAATGTCGGTGAACGATAGTTTCCCCGACGAGGCCCACACCCAGTTGTAACGCCCAACACTTTTTTATCGGCGAAGCCCTTACAGAAGGCCGTCAATCGGAAATCGTCCAAAAAAAAGATCTTTCCACATCGCGTGGCAAAGCCCTTACAGAAGGTCATCAATCAGAAGTTCACCAAGCCAATGTAGTGTCTTCTAAAAGTCATGGAGGGACCTGTTCCAAAGCAGATGCCTTATTTCCTAAAATTATCAAAACCAACGCCGTAAAACACATTGAGACGGACAGAACAGTCGGACGATCCTCGCTGTGGTGTGCAAAACATCCGTTTGTGTACTTCTGGGGGAGGAACGGAACAGCACACCAACGCCGGACAACCACATTACACCGCCTCATCTACAGAAGACGTTTTCGCACAGTCGACATGACAAGTACTTTTCGCAGAGCCATGAAAGCACAAACTCTACCTACCACGGTCATTCTGAATACGAGCTGAACAGAAGTGCAAGACAGAAGCTCATCCAAGCCTGCCGCCCCGCCCCGGATCCGAGGTCTGGATCAATCCAGCCACCCGCCAACAAAAGTCCTAGACAGAAGCTCATCCAAGCCTACCAATCCGTGGTTCGGATCAATCCGAGACCGCCCCGGAAAGATTGACATTAAATGGGATGTCGTGCGACCATCCGTGGCTCGGATTAATCCGAGCCACCGCCCAGCGTCCTCGCCTTATTCAAGGGGATGTGGCAGAAGGATGAGACACCGTTGGAATCGAAGGCGGAGGCTGTGGGAAGCAACATGCCTTTGCGATGTTTGCATTACTGCCTCATGTGCAAGAAAACAACTCAGACAAAAGCCAAGAGTGCCATCCCCAGTTCATGAGACCCGCCTGTGCGATGTGGCAAACAAATCAGACTCTATTGCCGTCGAGCTATGAGGTTCGGATTAATCCGGACCACAACAAAAGGTTTCAGTCAGCCGGTACCCAGACGTCCTGCAAAATGTTCACATTTCGGCACTCGGAAGGAAAAATCAACAACAAATGCCATGAGTGCCCGAAACGGATATTATATGTTGCATTCAGGACACGTGGCATGTGCCGCCGTTTTCCTTTCCCGATGAGACATTCCGTCACTGGGCGTGATACTCACCTCGGGACTCCCGAGGAGATGAGTGGTGTGGTTCGAATTGATCCGAGCTACATCACACGTTCAGGAGTGACGCGGAACTGATAAGTCCGGTGTGAGTGTTGCACTACCCAACGCGGAAGAAATAAACACTGACAAAAGCCACGACTGCCATCCGTCAGTCGTCTGTGGTTGTGGTTCGGATTCATCCGAGCTACAAACGAAGGCAAAAGCAGATGGGGAGCTATCGGAGTCATGATTTGTGAAGATGTTTACTTCGAAAGCGATCCCCTGTGGTGTCGTTGTCCCTTCCACTGAGACATCGGAGGGATGTGGTTCCCGTTGAGACTTCCCACGAGCCGAGGGTTGTGGTTCGGATTCATCCGAACTACATCACACGTTCCGTAGTGAGGCGGAACAAAAACGTCCAGCCTGAGAATTGCATAACCCCTCATGGGAGACAAAGAACACCGACAAAAGTCATGAGTGGCGGGTTGTCACGGACAGGGGGTCGCCTCAAAACTCTCGATGGGGGGACGTTGCGTGAAAACAATGGGTCGGATGTAAGGGGAGCATAGTCGTCCAACCACTGGCATCGCAAATGACATCTACTATTGCCTTCATCCTGAGCTCGGATGAATCCGAACTCCATCCGGAACAAGTGGCATGAACAGCACTCTCTCACTCCCGCTGCAATCCCACGCACGCCTCCCTAAGCTGCTCTGGAACACGTGGCTGCGATTAATTGGAATCGTAACGTGATCGGCGTGGATCGAGAGCTGATCGTTCCACGAGGTCATTGGTGCGTTCATTCAGCGCAGATTTCGAGACTGTAATCGTCGCGAGGATTGTCCACGTCAGAGTTCGCCCAAAACGAATCATGGCGAGGGGACGGGCTGCCGCACGGGCGGCGGTGCTGTGACGTTTTCTTGTGGGCGCGATGGAACTTGTAAGCGCTAGTTCCATATCCAAAATGTTGCCAATGCGTGTTCGGCGTCTCGCGCCCGGTTGCGTGGCGGTTCCTCATTGCTAGCTGCGTGTGCGAGAACGGTCGATGAGACAGGGAGCGTTCAAGACAACAAGAGAAAGATCCTGATGTCGTCCATAACCGCGATGGACATGTTCAATCAGCGAGTCGATCGAAAACGAGCTCGAAGTTGGCCCTTGGCGGTGGGATGTCGCGGGATCGGCGGTAATCTGGGATGTTTCAGATTCGCCATGGGTATCCGTTGTGCGCAATAGGTCGTCGCTGAACGTTGTGGATGGGTGGCTTTGCCACTGTTGGCTGTGCGTGCGACACGTGCGATTCCTGTTGGAGGTGCGCATTTGTCGTGCGCCACTATCGGGGACATGGGATGATGTGATTAGCGCTGCAATAACACATCATCCTATAGACGTCAACACCGGAGATGGATGGACGGGATCTGAAAGTCGATCGACACGCGTTTTTTCAGATGACGTCTTCGGTGTTGACGTCTATCGGATGCTGTGCTATCGCAGCGGTGATCACATATTGTGATGTTGAGGACGCCAGGGAGCAACGACGATGAAACTTCGTCCACGCGCTAGATGCGGTCGTCGGAGGCGTCCGACGATCTTGACTGCGAAAGCCGCAAGCCATTTCGAATTCCAGACGTCATGCACAAGATGGTGACGTCAGTGTGTGTCAGTGGAAGGAAACTTTCGTGGTTGTGAGCTGCGGACATCGTGGACTCAAGATCGCGCACATGTCGACTCGTGCGTGATTGATGGAGCAGGCGGTGATGTAGAAGAAGACTCGCACGACCGACTGCATTGCGGTATCCTGAGTAGACTAGGCGGAAGACGACCCACGAGCTACGGTCCAAGAAAGTGTACCAACAAGCGATGTTGAGGACGCCAAGAATCGAGGGCGGTGCGGCTTTCTCCACGCGTCAGATGCGGTCGTCAGAGGGCGCCAAGAATCGAGGGCGATGTTGAGGACGCCAACAAGCAATGTTGAGGACGCCAACAAGCGATGTTGAGGACGCCAAGACTCGAGGGCGATGTCTGTGAAAGCCGCAAGCCATTGCCCGTCGCTGACGTCATGTGCAAGATGATAACGTCAGCGTGTGTCACTGCATGGGGTCTTCCGTGGTTGTGATCGGTGGGCGTCGTGCGCTCAAGATCGTGCGCGCGTGATTGGCAGAGCAGGTGGTGGCAGAGAACAAGACTTGCACGGTCGAAGGAGCGGAAGGGCAATGGGAAGAGGTGGGGGCTTGAAATGGTGAAGGGGCGTGGGCTTCTTACTGACCTGCGAGTCGACAAACGCCTCCAGACGACACAAGAAGAGCACAGCGCGAACGGGACAACGCGCAAGGTCTACAGTCGCGTGACGTTTTCGTTAGCGCCCCCCGCTGTCGACGATTGCTGGAAGAACGAGGGCCTGGATGCGCAAGGGGCCTGCGATATGATGCCGGCGACTTCGAGCAATGGCGGACGCGTCGCAAAGGCAGCACACGGAAGAAATGACACCAGCGAATGGGTGTGACAGCCACCCCCATACGTCTGGTGCCCGACAGGAGAATGGTGAGTGGAGTGAGTGGGGTTTGAGGGGCCCTTCAACTGCCCGCCGCAGGGTCAGTAACGGCGGACTGCTGTGTCGGGGGCTGTGACATCAGGCGGTCCCTTTTTTAACGGACCGTCCTCAAGAAATTGCCCGATCCGAAACCGTCGCGAGAGGGCGGGTCGTGATTTCGAGAGGACTGACCTTTTTTCCGCCCACTTTTGATTATCGGGGCCCGCGCAGATTTTACCGTGATATCGACGGTTCCAATGCGTCATCCCGTGTGACTTTTCCAGCCCACTTTCGTTTCTTGGGCCCCGCGCGAATGTATCCGCCATTCGAATGACGGTGGCACCATTCTGCGAATTTGCAGGTGGGCATTGCAATCGTCCGAAGCAGCAGGCAATCGCTGGTGTCGCCAACCCGAACGACCGAAAATGCCCGTCGCGCGCCCGGACCACCTGCCCTTGCCAGCGACATAGCCATCTCGTCGCCATCTCCCCCGCCGTCTACCTCGCTTCTCTCCCTCTCCCTCGTCGCCATATCCCTCGCCTCGCCAGCTCCTTCGCGTCGCAATCGCCCACGTCTCCATTCGCGGTTTTGCCCTCTCACGCGTCGGCACCTCCCTTTTCGCGCTTCGCGACACTCGTTGTCGTATTGCGGTTTGAGATCATCAGCCAAGTCGCCGGGGCCATTGTTTCCAACAACAGTTGTAAATCAAGGAAGGAAAAGGTGCGTTCTCTCTCTCATTCTATCTCCCTTTCTCATCTCTCTCTATCTCACTCCCTCTCTCTCTCTCTCTATTTGGCTCTGTCTCTCTTTTTTTTTCTCTCTCTCTCTCTCTCTCTCTCTCTCTCTCTCTCTCTCTCTCTCTCTCTCTCTCTCTCTCTCTCTCTCTCTCTCT